CACCCTTAGAGCCTATAAAACCCACCTATACTTATTTATTAATAAACCTAACCCTAAACCCTACCACTAATGCTAAAAAGAACTCCAAAAAATGTCCAAAAAGTTTTAAATTTTCTTTAAAAAATAGAAAAATTTTATTTTGATCAGATTTCATTTTAATCTGTGATAATTATTAATAGTGCTTTGTGCCATCTATATTATTTAATAATTTTGAAATTAAAGTTGAAACTCTTATCTAAATTTGAAACTCTTACTGAAAGTCAAAATTTGAAAGTCAAAAGTCTTACAAATTTAAAACGTTTAGCTAAAGTTAAAAGTCATACTAAAATTCAAAACCTTGCTAAAAACTGAAAGCTGTAAGTTTCATAAAATTTATTAAAATTTTTATCATAAGTTAAAAGTTTACTAAAATTGAAAGTTTTATCGAAAGTCAGAACTTCTACTAAAATTTGAAAGTTTTACTAAAGTCAAATGTTCTACAAAAGTTGAAAGTTTTATTACAGCTGTTTTCATAAATTTGGGATATCTAAAAAATTTGCTGATATTAATTTTAACTGAATCTGATGTTATTTCTTTGGTATTATATAATGTACATATATATATTGTATAATACTAAAGAAATAACTTAGCGATTTTAGCTGAAATAATTATTGTCAAATTTTTTAGATGTTATAAAATTTAAATTTTGTTAGAAAAAAAGTTTTTAAGAATAACTAATTAAATCATTTAACATTTTAGTAAATGGTTACGAGCTCTTATAAAAACAGCTATAAAATTCGTAACGCTTATTGAAAGTCGGAAATTTTACTGAAATTTGAAATTCTTACTGAAAGTTAAAAGTTTCACCAAAACTTGAAATTTGAAATTCTTACTGAAAGTCAAAATTCTTATTGAAAGTTGAAAGTTTCTCTAAAAGTTAAAAGTTTCACTGAAATTCAAAACTCACTGAACTTCAAAAGTCTTACTGATATTTGAAATTCTTATTAAATTAAAAGTTTCACCAAAAGTTGTAAGTTCTACTGAAAGTTAAAGCCTTACCAAAATTCAAAACTCCTACTGAAAATCAAAAATCACTCCAGTTGTAAGTTCTACTAAAAGTCAAAATCAAAAGTTCTATCAAAAGTCGAAAGTCACACCAAAATTCAAAATTTTATTGAAAATTAAAAGTATCACTGAAATTCAAAATCTTTGCTGAAATTAAAAGTCTTACAAAAGTTAAATGTTTTACCAAAAGTCAGAAAATCTTACTAAAAAGTCAGAAAGTCTCACCAAAATTCGAAACTCTTACTGAAATCAAAAATCTCACTAATCATAAATTCTACCAAAAGTCAAAAGTCTTGCTAAAAGTTGAAAGTTTTATCAAAAATCAAGAGTCTCATCACAATTTGAAATTCTACTGAAAGTCGAAAGTTTCACTGAAATTTGAAAACCTTACCGAAAATCGAATGTTTCACTGAAATTTGAAACCCTTACTGAAAGTCTAAAGATACACCGAAGTCAAAAGTTCTACCAAAAGTCAAAAGTCTTACCAAAAGTTAAAACCTTACCAAAAGTTAAAAGTTTTACTGGATATCAGATCTAAGAGCTAAGTTGTAACTCTAATTACTTTTGTATTTTTTGATTAACAATATTGTTTTTTATTTTTTTGATTATAAATATGTCTATGACGATAATATTATATACCATGTTGGAAAGTTTACTATTACTGTTAATAGTTATGGCTTGTAATATTTGGATAAATGCGCATATAAAGAATTAGCATCTGGTAAAGAATGGGTTTACTAATTTTCCCCCCTAGTTCCTATTGGACAAAGAAAAATCCTGCTGTTCGATCAAATAATAGAAGTATCGTTGAAATGGTACAAAAGTAGTATAGAACAATTCCTATAATAAAATTTTGCAAGGAATTTTTTTGTTAGAACACGAAAGGTGGTTTTGTAACCAAAATTTTGTTACTGGCGATTTTTGAAAAAACTTCGATTTTTTTTGAAATTATATGTTAAACCTGATCTTATAATTTGATTGGTGTGGCGTGGTCTACTTTGTCCAATCAGAGACGGCATTTACAAATGCCCAATCAGAACTGGGGGAGAAATTAGGGATCCCGTAAAGAATAGCTAGCCTATTTCTATATGTTTTCATTATATATAAAACCAGAAATTGCATAAAATTACAATGACGATCAAAATATGTAATGTGATCTGCATTTCAGGTTTGGCAAAGTTTATAGCAGGTTTTGCCCTGTTGATATTTTTACTGATAACAATCAAAACTGCTAAATCGTGAAAAGTTTATAACATTTAGTTTACGCTATTTTCATAGTGAATAATCATAAATGCTTAACTACGTACTGTGATCATATTAATTTTCATAGTAATACTCTGGTAGCAAATCAAATATGTTTAAATGAACTCTAGATTAGATGGTAGAGATTTTGTGTACAGTCGTTAATGCCTATATATTACAGTATTCACAATGAATGAAATATCGTAATCCAGTAATCATGAGGCAAAGATAATTTTAATTATAAACGGATAGTTATTACTATAAATAACCAAAAACATTAAAGTGCGAAACTTCATGAGTTAATTATATAGATAAAAATTTGTTCGCAGACGTATTTAGTTCAAAGCCTGGGTCGAATCTGGTCTTAGAGACAAACAATACAAATGATGATCGAAGTATATAATGTGATCTGCATTACAGGTTTAACAGAATTTTAGCATGTCGTTGATGTTATTTGCTAGTAACGGTAACCAATCAGAACTGCTAAAATGTAAAACTCTGAATTAGATTATATAGATAGATTATATAGATTATCAGTCACGGCTCATATTTTATATTAAGAATTATACTAGGAACCGGAAACCGGTTTAAGTCCGGAGCTCATTATTGTCATCTTACACAAACGCGTAAACGTGCATAATTTTTTTTACACAATGTACAAATATAGACACGCGGCGTTACAGATGGAAAATGCCGAAACTACTTTTTTGATCTTTTTATTATAGATGCATCAAAACGTAATTTCAGTCATCAAAGCGCATAGAAGTATGAGTCCTCCGCTTCGCTCCGGACAATAATTACGAGAAAGTTGTTTTGACGATCCCACATATAGATATGAATGAGTGCTGCCAAGGGAAAATGGCACCTCCGTTTTTTAATCAATTATTGATTCAATAAATGATTAAAAAACGGAGGTGCCCTTTTCCCTTGGCAGCACTCAAATACAAGAACAACCAAAAAAATCGACGTACTGTTAACCCCTGTGATTAGTATCGCATGACAAATTAACCACAATGTAACACCAATGCAAGGAACACTGTAGTAGCACTAGTAGCGATAGAAGTGATATTAGTGATAGCAGCACTAGTAGCGTAATGCTTCTTTTAAGTTTAGTGATTCTAGTAAATTTGTAGTTTATAAAAATAGTAACAAATCGGAGGATCAAAAGGTATAAATAGACTTAGATATTTCTCTTGTAAAGAACAGAACTCGAAGTTTCAACAACACCTCCCCAATAAATAAAGAGTAATCATGTCTTCATACGCGAACAACTCGAATACTTTATTGAATAAATCACTAAAGAGTAATCGTGTTTTTATACACGGATAACTCGATAAACCATAACCTTGTTATAGTGTCTTCATACACGAATAACTTGAGTAGAATAAATAAACTTGTTTAACCTAATAAATAAATAATAATAATAATTAATTACGACAATCATCCGCAGTATCATTCGCTCTTTACAAACAGTAAGTGTACGATTATCTTGCAATCTATTGATCAGAATCGAATGTTTTTTAAATCATTCGATTCGACTTGATGAGACGAATCAAACGGTATAAGAATCATTAGCCACCAACCGGTAAATTGCATGTTAGCTTCAATATTATATGATCTGCCACTTTACCCACCTCCGCCATAATACCTCATATAAAATTTTAACAAAATTTTATACACTCGGGTTAGTACTTTATAATAGTTAGGATTAGGTTTTGGGAGAGGTTTTGGGCGTAGAACATTTTTTACTTAGAACACTTCACACCGCTTAATTAGCCAGTTTTTGAGATAATGCATGCATAGGTGTTAAACACCATAGGTGCATTTTAGTAATGTAAAGAAATTATAAATAATAATTGCCGCGACAGAAGCTGGAAATTAGGAACCTCGATTTAAAAATATAAACCCTACCAAAATCCACTTATACATTTTTAGCATGGTTAAAAATCCTATGATAAGAATCAGAAATAATATAAACAATATAAGAAGTCATCCAATTTCAGATCGGAATTTTGATCTCGTGAATTTCAGATTTGAAATTGGATTGGATGATTTTTTATATTGTTTATATTGCTTCTATTTCTTAACATTTAGCCAATCATAGGATTTTTAACCATGCTTGCATTTTTATTATCAAAACTAACTTTAATTCCTAAGCTAACTAAAAAAAAAAAAAAAACTAAAAAAAATGCACCCAAAAATTTTTAAAATTTTCATATTAAAATATTTAAAATTTCCAGCTTCAGCAATTTCAAAAACGGCAATCATTTATAGAAGCTAGTCTCATTGTTCCCTTGTTCATGCCTAGGTCAACGCTATTTGGACAACACAGTCTATACCATACCAAAAGAAGTTAAAAATTACTTTAATCATGCCTAAAAAAATCGAATAAAGAAAATCTATACCGAAGTTGGCAAAATCAGATAACACAAAATGCAAGTTAGGTTAAAAAATATATAATTAAATAAAGAATATATAATTAACGGTAATAGAATACGACTGTAGTTTGTAGATCATTTAAAAATTATGCAAGGTTAGATATCGCTTACAAAGAAGGCCAATAATAAAAAAATAACAATAATTGAAACTCTAATTTGAAACATTTATTTTCAAATTAATACCCACAAAATTTTTCAGAGTTACGTATTATCTAATTTTCTCTTTCTCGTTAAATATTAAAATAATTTTTTGAGAAAAAGTTAGAAATAATATCTATGGTAAACTCACAAACCTGGTTAGACCAAAATTATCCCACAAATGGCACTTGCATAAGAGTTGAGGATAAAGAAAATTATGGCAAAACCAGAGACCAAATCGTTAATTTAGATATTAGTAATCAAAATTTAGAAGGTGCTTTAAGATTGGGCAGTTCATTTCCCAACCTAAAAAAAATGAACGCTTCATTTAATAATCTAACTAGCCTCGGTTGGGACACGCTTCCAGTCCTAGAAGAAATTGATGAATCTCACAATTTGTTATCTGGCAATGGTCTTAGTTTGCCAAATTCTCCTACTATCAAAAAATTAAACTTTTCTTACAACAAAATCTCTGGTTTTTATTTAGACACTCCCAATTTAGCATATTTGGATTTGACTAGTAATTTATTTATTACTCTGGATCTTCATATCACACCAAATTTAGTGGAGTTAAAATGTTCAAATAACCCTATTTCTAACCTGACTCTAACCCAATCTTCTAAACTTGTTCTTTTTGATTGTTTGGGCGTTAAATTCGACAAAAATAATGTTGCATCAACTCCCACTTCTTCCCCCTTTTCACCTTCAACCTCTCTTTTCCCAACCGTAACAGTCTACTCCAAAGATCCCACCCTCCTCGGAAGCACTATTGGACTGGGTGTTTACTCGGGAATATGCACACTTGGTTTGCTGGTCTTTGGTTTCATATTCTTATACAAACGCTTTGCGCCAAAAAAGTTTATTCCAACTCCGGGCAGTTTTATCTAATTGATAATTTTATAAGAAAAACCAAATTAATTTCTTTTCACGTAATTCAAGTATTAAATCTACTAGACTTATGCCAATCTATTCTAATAATATCTTTATCAATATCGAAGTAAATTATTTTTTGAGTTTACATGATTAATTATTATGTTTCTGCTGACGTTGAACTATTATGGTTTTTTGCATGGGAGTCGTGCAAAATCCCAATACTCATAATCCCGACATAAAAATTTTGAGATGGTACAGTATATCATCTTGTCGGACAAAATCTTAAAATAATAAAAATCTTGACATTATAAATTTAAGTGCCAAAATGCAAAATATTGGGGGTTAGTAGTCAGAATTTTGAATTTAAACTATCAGAATTCTGTACTTGTTATGATTTTTACTTTTAGGATTTTAGTATTCCAAGATTTGTCTGTCGGGATTGTGAGCTTCGGGATTTGTACTAAACCTTTTTTACATTAATGTAAAAAGTTTTTCGTCTTAAATCTTTTGCTCATCTAATTTAATTTCTAATTTCTTAACTTTTTCTTTTAATTCTTAATAGTTAGGTGCAATAGTCCCATCATCGCTTTCCATTTCATATGCTTTTTCCTTTTTTACAAAGAAATCATATACGTTTTTTGATATTCAAACGATTTAATCTATAAATGTTATTAAGTTAGGATGTGCAAATTTAAAATTGAGTTGCGACAGAATAAAATTTGAATTTGTGATTCGTAAGGCTAAAAATAACTAATCCGTGTCAAAATAAAATTTTTCTAACGTCAAATTTTTAATTACACTTATACACAGTTCCCGTAGTTATGAATACGTCAGAATGGAATAATTTTAGATTTAGAATTCAATTAAGCTGATCCCAAATAAACATTAATTGTAAAATATAACAGAGTTATTAAAGTATTTCACTGTGTGCGTTTTTATTATGGAATTTATATTGCTTTAAGAGGGTTTATTTATAACGTAGAGCATTGCAAATTATTGATAGTAAACTGACTCTTGTTATGAAAGCTTAAATGCCAAATAATATTTATACGTTGTTACCAAATTTAATTTCATATAATGAA